TTAAAGGGCGTCTGTGCTTCCACGGTGTTTTGTGCAGCGAATAGAATGCCCCACGGCATATGTCTGCCGATAAAGGACAAGTCGCAGGAGGCGCGCCCTCTTACTCTATCCCCATTTAGCCAACCGTAAACGCGTTCTGCCAAGAACCAATCAGTAGCTGCCGATGAGTGCCACGTGAGTGGCGATACCTGTGACAATCATCGTTTATATTAAACAAGCAATTTAATAAGAACGATAACGGTTTTTCTCCCGTTCATGTTAGATTATCCCATCTTATAGCTCAGATACGCGACTTGTGAAAGGCGAGCGGTGGTTCACTATGGCCTGCCGTATTGACTCGTCTACAACAGGCATTATAAGCATCGTCCAGTGTTGGCCATAGATGATAGCCAATGTCACCTCGCGGTGATTTGGTTTTAACAAGTATTGGCTATTGTCGAATCAATTATTTATGATGGTAAATATAACTAAATGATTACTGTTGGCTTAAACATGGAGAATCTATAGGTTGCTATAATATGTTAGAGTTCTAAAATATAATAATTGGTGGGTTTTAACGTCTCAAAACCACCATATGATTATGAGAGACGCCGTAGCGAAGAGCTCTGGAAATTTCGACCACCTGGGGTTTCTTAACGTGCACCTAAATCTAAGCAAACGGGCCTCAAGTATTTTCGCCTCTGTCGAAAATGCGGCCGGCGCGGCCGGGATTCGATCCCGCGACCTACCGGTCAGCAGCCGAGTGCCTTAGCCGCTAGACCACCGTGTCGGGTCAATATATTATAACTGTTGATGTTTAGCGTCCCCAAAAACACTATATGATCATGAGGAACGCAGTAATGGAGGGTTCCGGAAATTTCGACGTGCGTGCGCGGATGCACGTTCGTTAACGTTCACCTTTATTTAAGCACGCGAACCTAAAGTATTTTCACTTCAATCGAAAACGCGGCCGCGATTCGGTGCTGCGACCTTCGAGTCAGCAGTCGATCACAGTCTGTGCTGTTATTCTGGGCGATGCCGAGTGCTCTCATGTTGACAAATTAGTCCTCTAATTAACTATGATTAGTCCAGGAAGCTGATACTCTGATTGGCTTAAAATACCGCCACTACAGAAATGTGACAATATGGCGAAATTTTGTCAGTGTCGTGAGCATTTCGCGCCAGTGTCGCCATAAGTGGGCTAAATTACTGGCTCATGTTGTATAACGTAGGTTGATGCAGTCGGTTCGTTGTTATACATAGCGACAATATCAGCAGTGATATGCGTTTTTACATTCTAGAACATGGTATGATTATCAAGCGCGTAATAATGAAGAGCTCCGGAAATTCGCGACCACCCGGTGTCCTTTAATGTGCGCCGACATCACGCAGTACAAGGGCGCCTGCTATTGCACATCAATCGAACTGCACGGCCGGTATCGAACCATTGAACTGCGGGTCAGCAAACGAACTCGACTGTACCCACACGGGTTAGTTTCACTTGATTTCCTTTTCCTTCCACTTCGATCACCGAAACTTAATTTCGTGCATGCAGTTTCACCGTTATCATGTGCGCGAAGTGATCCTGACAGCTTCCTCGAAGTGAAAGCCTCAATGGTGTAAGCGTGGGTGTCAGCGACGACGTCATTCGCGCGTAAGCTTCTTTAATTCTCCGAGCTGGGTTATATAGAAGAACGGGAATCGAATTCGGTGCAGAAAAGAAGCGAAGGATGTACGCTAACAACGTAAACGACGACAACCCATCACGTTCTGTCAATTCAAGTCACCTCCTTTGTTCAGCGACCCTGACTCTGCGGCAGCTCCTCGACAATTCTTCGCCAAGTTCTTTTCCTTCTTGTATATATTTCTCTTTGTACTATCGGTTTCCGGGAAATATGTCGTTTGAGACGTTGCCGCCTCGGCATTTTATAAGAAGCGAATCGAACAAGTAAGCTAAATGAGGAAGCTATTAAAGAACCCCAGGTGGTCAAAATTTCCGGAGCCCTCCACTACGGCGTCTCTCATAATCAAATGGTGGTTTTGGGACGTTAAACCCCACAAATCAATCAATCAATAAATGAGGAAGCTATGTGCGATAACGATTTGTTACTCATTCACCCCGATTCTGTCCGTTTCTCACTTGACCGCGCGCTAGAAAATGACGCGCCAAGTCACGTCACACCTCAGGTTTCACTTGGAGGACGGAAAAGAGAAGAAACGCACGAACGAACGAAATAAATAAATAAAATAAGAGAATCGGGGTGAGAAACGCGCGAGCCATCGTGGGAAAACCGAGAAAACAGAAATGCTGTCTGCACGATACCCGGCTTGCAGCTGCTGCGGTATCGCTGCCGTGGGACTTCGCAGACGAGCGCATTGTTTGCTTGGTTCGACTCCGGTGTCAGAAACACGTTTTGTCTGCGCTAGCGAGATAGAGCCCGATTTGTGTGTTCGGCCTTCTCTTTGGTCACTTGTCTGTTTCTTTAGGTGCATAATACCCCAGCGCGCACTCACGCACGCACGCCGACACACACACGCACGCACGCACACACACACACACACACACACACACACACACACACACACACACACACACACACACACACACACACACCGATCACATTGCAGCTGCGGGTCGCTAGACAAAGCTCGCGGTGCGCGGTCACATTCGGTTCTCTCACGCTATGTGTCCTCTGTACTTTCATTTTTTTTTTAAAGTAATGCGGCCTCTTTTTCCGGTGCTTGTGGGACGGCGATTGTTTGGGTTAGTTGGCCTAGCAGGCCCGTTTCCGTGATGAAATGAAGGTAGACCGTGACAAGAGACAACAAATTTTTCAACACGATACCACGACTATCCACGATGCCCCGTCTAATCGTACCACCGCTACGGTGAATTGTTTGTTAATGTCAGACATGGGAGACAAAGCGGTAAATCAATCGATCAATCAATCAATTCTTTTGCGTATGAAGCAACGCGCACACAAGCCACAGAGCTCATCAAATACATTTACACAAATGCTTAACAGGGTACACATTACACTGCACTGGCGTAACAAACAAGCGAGGGGAAGAGGGTGACACTTTTCTACCTTGTTTTTTTTTCTATTTAATAAATGTATATATACACACACACATCCAAAAGCCCATACCGACATAAAGTAGAGTTGACCCTCCACCCCCACCCCTGGCTAAAAAAATAAAAAATTCTGGCAACGACCTTGGCCATACTGCAATGAAATGATGGCATCACTCATCTGTGAAGTTAGCCATGTGTTAAGTGTATAACTAGCCTTTCTGACAATGCGTTCAAAATCTTCAAGTTCCCAACTCAGAAATCTACCAAATGACAGATGGCTTCAGTCCATATCTGCGTATAGAAGGCATATAACATCGAACCAATTCATCTGACGTGCACGTAACATAAAGCGCAGCTGCGAATAGGGATTTTTCGAAGTGTGATATGACCATTATGAGTAGAGTAGCGCTTTCCTTTTATTTAGCTACAAGATCTGTTTTAGCACCAATGGGCGTGTCGATTGTGGCTGACAAGTTTCTGGTCGGAGCGTTAACATTCATATCCGGAATACTAAACTACATGCAGTCAAAATTTAGCATATTTGAAACTATTCCCTTCGTCCAATGTGAATGTATAGCTATATCTGCGGCGTATCCAGGGAGATGGAGGGGGTTGACATCACCGTCACCTGAATGTTTTCTATTTCGCATGTGTACAAACACACGCGCACGAACATATACATGTGAAGCATGCCCCCCTCCTCCCTAAAGACAAAACAAAAACTGGCTACGCTACAGACAGGTTACCTACTAATAAGTAAAATCACAACCTGATTTATTGTACTGCACCGACACAGACGAATAAATGTCTTGTCAACCTTTAGACAAAATACGTAATCCCTTCGACATATGTGTAACAAGCGCATAGCGTCTTCCAGACTCGACAACAATGGACAAACTGCCAGCCGAGTAAATCAAACAAACAAATGTTTTCACAGAATGCAGCGAATGCCTTTAATTGGCGCGCGCTGCACAACCTTTGCGTATCGTTGCTTAATTCACCCAAACAGCGGCCGAACATTGACACGGCCGGGTTACTGTCGCAAGCAAGCGCTGCTCAGAACAAAATGGTTCCTTCCCACGCGCAACAGCAATAAAATGGCATTACCGCGCGACCTAAGTCGTCTCGCCTCTACTACGATTGGAGGATATAAAAACTTCACGTTCAACAACAGCTACGACCTTGGTAGACCCGCCTCCAAGCGCCGCAAGAAGAACAGCTGGACAGTTCGTACGGTAAGTGAAGTGCACAGTTGCACCCAATTATCTACACACGGACCGTCCAAAGCGATCAAACGGACTTCTACACGAAGAAAAGCGAAGGTACGGTGGAAATCAATGTGGTTCTACAAAACGGAGAGGGGGGAATTCCCCCAATGCGCACCGGACTTTTGCCGAAATGCCGCGCGGTGCACTGCTCTATCGGGTGTCCACACGTACACCGTTTCGAACGGCGCCGGCCCAGCGATGACTCATCGTCCGCATTGTATTCTTTACACAGCGCGCACGGCAAGGAGTAACGGACCGTTCTCCACATGTGTGTTTCGTCTCGTTAATCCGGGGCCGACTTAATCAGTATCCGACGCCGAGATTTATTACAAGCGTCACTTCCGAAGCGTTTTAAAAGCTCCGCGTGCGATAGCCACAAGCTTTCGCCGCGAACACAGATGTTTTGCGTGCAAAACGCGAACCCAGCTCAACAGGTTCGGTTTGAGCCGTCGCACAGCTACTTCAGCGGGAGGCTTTGGGTCTAAATTAAACCGGTGCACTGCGAAGCGAAAATAGGCGCACCCCGAAAGGCGGAAATGCGGTTCCCGAGTCGTCGACCCTATCTCCGGGCTTTCTCCACACAACTCGAAAGCTCTCGGGAGAAGACCAATTTACAGGGCAGGAAGAAAAAATTGGGGACACCACGCGATGGAGCGCGCGCACGACGGGAGACTCACCGATCGTGGATATGTAGGTGTCGTAGAAGCGCTCGTCACAGAATCGGTGAACGATGCACGTCTTGCCCACATTGCTGTCTCCCAGGACGAGGATTTTGAAAATGGCCGTGAAGTCCACCGCCATGTTGGCCCCGACTGACAAGCGGGCTTGAAGCGGGATCGATGTGTTGCTCCGGGAGAGGGGAAAAGGCGGAGGGGACGGCGAGTTTCCGGCGGATGTGGCGTAAAGCTCGCATCTGCTGCCGCCGCGTCGCAATTTTTTTGTTGTTGTTCGCGTCGCGCGATGCCGCCGTGGCTTGAAGCAATCAGAGCCATCTCGGCACGTCAAGTTACTTACTGCATGACTTCACCCCCTCCTTCCCAATGAACGCGGCCGTAAAGGCACTATGCCGCCTTCGAAGGACAAATTGAAATCCGCAGCTAGCGCCCCTTGTGAAACTGGCGTTTTGAACTTCGTTAGGAGCGAAATCGCGGTGCCTCCTCGGCACTTGTCACTTTAAGTACCGTTAATTTAATATGTTCGGTTGCTCACTCTCCGATGCGGATAATCACAACCGCTAGCAGTGGTCAAGCGTAGTACACCCGATAATCTATAGGGCAATTTCATACCTATGCAAGGAATAATTCTCGTTCTTCAAGCTCACTGGCTCAGCAAAGATTTGATCATTGAATGATGAGTTACTGGAAACCAAGAGTGCCGAATCTGAAACGGCTTTTGTGTGTACTAATCAAGATCTTTGAAAGGGGTATATTACGGGATTAATGTGCATTAATTAAACCTCTCCCGTTTCATGATGCATGTTTGCACCTTGCGATGCCTTTTCAGAAGGTGCCACACAATGATGCATCCCGAAAAGCTTACAATAAAGCGAATGATATTGTGCATATCAAGTTATTCTATGTAGCCTGGAACAATTTGAAAAAAAAAAGTGACATTTACATTTACCTAATAGTTCCTTAACTGTTCTGCAAGATCTAAAACAGAAAAGCTCGGTGTGTACCCATCAGTGCACAGCACACAAAAACAAAGCTTTTCAGGTAAACTTTATACGTACACAAAAAAATGCCCCGAGGCCATCTGAACAACATATAAGCTTATACAAGCAACCGTCAACTTTTTCCTCAGATTTTTTTCCCTCATCTACGATTTATACTCAAAACATAAACCTTCCCATGCCTCATTATCTGACGTCGTACGATTCGTGCAATTGACAAAAATTGGACATCTCATCCATTTTAACCACGATACTTTGCGTATGAATGCTCAGAAATGTAAGTTCACAACAGTTTCCAACAGCCATAAAGTGCTTGCTGTTCTGGCTGTGCTTTTGATGCGCAACCTTTGTGCTAGCATGCAAAATATAATCAACAGTAGCAAGAGGTGCTCAAACAGTCAATTTGTTTATTGATACTCAAACTTGCAAACCGGGGCCTTGAACACAGGTGTAGACTTTCACCACAAGTTATAGCAAAGTAGTTGAACACACCAAAGAAATAAGCAGCCTGAAAATTATGCATGGGTTCATGCGGGAAATGGACACTAGTTAGCCTGGAGGCCAGCCAAGCTGACGTCCACCGAGAACGTGAATGTGGACATGATAGACGGACTGGCAACCCTGAGGACCGTCGTTGATCACAATGCGGAAACCCTTGTCCAGTTTTTGTTCCTTGGCCACTTGCTGTGCCACAAACAAAATGTGGCCTAGAAGCTAGAAAAGTGGACAGGACAAAGGAAAAGACGTGAATACACACAAACAACAATATTGAGGAAAAAAACAACCTAAAAGCAAACATTTGATACTTGAGATAGTTGTTGAATTGAAGACAAACTACAAGTGAACTTTAGTTGTCATAAGACGAGTTTGAGATAAAGTTGGGACGAAGAAGCCTTTGTGCACACTACCGTTTGAATAGATAAAAAGTGTCACAGAAATCCAGAATAAAACTAATTTTCACAATAAGAAGCACCAAAATAAACCCGTCATAAGTACTTCCTGCCTGTTATGCATCAAGAGGACATGTCTTAGAATAGCTCTTTGGTATTTCATCAGAAATAATGTTTTACTCAAACGTTATGGGAGCAGTGTGTTTGAACCGCGCATAAAAGCGAGAACCACAGTGCCCGCATCCTCTGTTTAAAGACTACTAAGAAGACAGCTATGCCATTACCAACCCGCACAATATGAGTTCAGTCAACAATAAATTTTGTATGGTTTGGCATTTAACGTGAACAAACTAGAAAAGCGTAGTCCCAATAAATGCTCCACTACTTTCCCCTTCAGTATGGTACCTTATCAAGTCTTTGAGGGAACAGCACAAGCAGAGTATGATAAATAAAACTAAAATTCATTATGAATGCATTAAGGAAGTGTACATTTAAGGACCTGTTTTCTTAGTTAAACACAACATTAATGAGATCTAACAGATAATAATGCCAAGGAAAGAACAGGGAATGTTATTAGGAGTAATTTTAACATGAATGTAAACAAAGAAAAGTAGACGAAAAGATAACTTGCTGGGGGCAGGGAGCGAACATGCGAGCTGAATAATGCATCTGTTGCTCCACCAACTGAGCACCGAGTTCGACATAGGTCTTCATTTGAGTATGATAGTATCTCATTAATATAATAAACGCATAGATATTTTGCACCGAGTTCGACATAGGTCTTCAGTTGAGCATGATAGTATCTCATTAATATTATCAGCGCACAGATATTTTGCACATCTTCCTGAGAGAAGTCACAAATGGCTGACCAATAGTCAGGGCATGGGCAAAAATGCAAGCAAGCATGAATTAACACAGTAGTTGTCGACCCAAAGAATATTCACGGGTTGAATTAAACGAAGTTATAAATTCCTGCAAAGCTAACAACCAAGAAAATAGCAACGTTTTTTTAGCAAAATGTTTCTAGTTGTAGGCGCGGTATACTATGCATCACATAGAGGAAGACGGAGAGGTTGGGAAGACTTCTTGAACTAAATGCATTTGTGCCTAATGCATAAATGCTTTTGTGCCTTAGAAACAAACAAACTGCTATACTTCTATGAATATGATATCCCACGAGGGCAGATCGAAAAGCTTTGCAACTAGGCTACAACTAAATATGCGACAGCGATATCTCTAAACCTTTTTTGCCGGCCATGTCTGCAGCCTAGTAAGGCCTGAATACCAAGTGTTCCAGTTTGTTAATTAATCTGAATCATTCAGTCAAACATGGCATCCTGCCAGGTTCAAGCTCATGAGCTGGAGCGCTATCAAATTTTTGTGCAAAGAAGGAAGTTCTGCTAATGAAATCCACGGTAGTGCAGTAAATATGCGTGGCAGTGAAGGTGCATCATATGCTACAGTGACTTGATGGTTCAATTTGTTCAAACATGGCTGTGTACACATGGAAAACGACACACGGTCAGGGTGGCCAAACACTTCTGATTCGTACAATACAGCTTCTGCAGAGAGCCTCATCATAAACAATTGCCAAATCAAGATGTCTGCAGTCAATAAAGAATTGCACATTTATTATGGCAGTGCTCTCACTATCATTCACCATGTCTTTGTTATGTTCGAGGTCTCATTGTGATGGGTACTATGATAGCTCTCAGTGCAAGGTGAGCAATACAGCATATATTCATCAAAGAAACTTTCATTTATATTCAGGCGTCCCAAAATATTTTCACTCCTGCCTTTGTGACCGGGAATGAGGCATAGCTGTTCCACTGGGACACAGAAACAGAACACCAGTCCATGCGGTGGAGGCAAATGGGGTCTACTTCACGGAAAAAGTTCACAACTAAGCGCCCATGAATGAAAGTGATAGTAATAGCTTTCTGGAATGCAAAGGGGATTCTCTCATTTAGTATCATGAAAACAGCCGGACGGTTACAAGCAAATACTATGACAACATTCTTCAAGAACTGCGTAAAGCCGTTGTGAAAAAATGCTGAGGATTAGTGACAAGAGGTGTCCCCCTCCTACACGACAACACCCCAGTTCACAGGTCATGTGTTGCCCAGGCTTAAATTTAAAATTGTGGTTTTCGAACAGTTGGACCGTGCTGACCTGGCCCCCGTGACTTAGTCTCTTTCCCAATTTAAACGAACACCTCAAGAAATGAGGTCTGTTTCGTTGAACTTGCTTCAAAGCCCCACAGAGTGGCTTGGCAACCAGGAAGAAAGTTTCATTTTTTTGCAGGGTACCAAAAGCATTCTAGAATAAACGGAGACACGTGTGGAGAGATTATGTTAAAAAATTTTTTTGTTTCTACGGTCTCGTAGCTTCCCTGCCATGCAAGTTGCAAAAATGTTTGATAACCTGTTGTATTTCATCGTTTTTTGGTTCTGGTATATTATTTGCTGCCAGTTGTGACACCTCATGTGCGGGCTCTTACTTTGCTTGCACGAGCATTTAAAACAATGAACGCTAACCACGAGTGCGTGGAGTGATACATGTTGCCGACCGAATTTCTTGCATAGCTTCAACAATTGTTAAATGAAACATAGTTGCACAGACTTCAAGTACTATTTGCACAAGTAGTTAAATGATAAGATCAAATGATTAATCAAATGATAAAATCAAATATACTTCAAGTCGTGATTCGATGAGTACCTGTCGTTTAGAGCGAGTGCCTGGAGCATCTGCAAAAACTTGAAGGACACTTCAGTGTCACCTTCAAGAGTAGAACACAATAGCGTAATCGGGCCCCGTGCACATCGCCTTCCCATTTGCTAGCCTGCCTTCAGCTCTCCGTGACTGCCACAACGAAGCTCATGACTGCCGCAAGAGCTCATTTTGTAGATGCTTTTGCAGCTGACGATTCAATATGAGCACTTGGTAATGGGCTTCTTCCATGCAATATTACATGCGTTAAGAAGACTCCTTCTCACGACATTCATACAGTTCTTTTCCTAAAGCAGGTTTAAGCAATAGCGTGGCCAGAGTCCTTCAATGCTTTTCTGGTCACGAAACTCCGCCCGAAGGTTGATATAGGGACAAAATCTGTCGCTAGAGGCGCCACCCGTCGTATGGGGGCCACAAGCCGCCGCCACTGCTGGGCTTGTATGCGCACTGCGGCCGACGTTTCGACGCGATTATGTGCGTGCTGTTCTTCCTGTTACCTTCTTTTAAACGTCTCTGAACGCATCAATGCCACCAGATAAATAAGTTGAAACTGGATCCAGTGTCGACGACGAATGAGAGCTGTTTACTTTGGAACGCACGCGTAGTTTACTTTGAAGTGCGGGCCCACTTTATAAACAGCAGCGCATTAAAAGTGTTCTCACACCGCGCGATAACGCATTGTGTCAATAATTGTCTCATAGCCCAATTATATGCATACTTACGATGCCTCGAAGCGGTACTTGCGAGCTATAGCTCGCAAGTGTTGAAAGACGATGCTTATGCTCCATGCTCTTGATGCGAGCAGCTACTGCTTGATCTGCTCGACAACATGTTTGTATTTGCGCCCGGCCAAAGGGCGATTATGTTTATGCGGTAGGTGAGCTTTATATTCTGGTAGGGCCGCTAATAGGGGGAGGAAGGTGAACGAAATGAAACACGACTGGGTAGTACAGGAGCAATCACATTGGTTTATATCCGGCTCGCCTCTCGCGCGCTACTACCCAAGTATTCAAATGAACTGAATGGTTGAGCCAGAAGTTTTATTGCAGACCTTTCAATTGAGTTTATACCCAAATGCGCAGTTGTTTTGGACACACGTTTGTGAGCGCCGATCGCTTTTTTGACGCGGGGACTTTCGATGCCGAGGGCTTTCGCGACCGCTCTAAACGTGCCCAACATTTGATTGATCACTTCTTTCCACGCAGTTTACACGGGACACCCGCCGCTTGACGTTTCCTTCTGTTTACTGTTTAGGGCATTATTATTTACCGGCCGACAACCCATGATTTCTCCGGGAACGGAAGTACAGCAGCCTAATCTGGAAGTTCCCTTTGATGCCAGTGCTAGCCTCGGTCTTCGTGCGAAGCCTCGGTCTCTCTCGCTGAAGCGACACGACCACCCCGTTCACGATGTGCTCGTCGGTTCTCACAACGTCGCTAGCATCAAAATGCTTTTCGCACACCCGAACGTTCTTACTTTCGAAGCTGAAACCGCCAGCTTCCAACCGCGGTATAGCTCGCTTCCATTTCTCTCGGAGTTCGGCGCTACTTGGGAAACAGAAGAGCGACGCCTTTTCTTAGTTGCTTCGGAATCCGGAGCTGCAACCCGTCACACAGCACGTCTTAGGCATTGTTCATTCGAATTTTCATGCCGTCCACCTTGAGCACGGTGCACTGGCACATGAAGTTCGCGTTTCGCTGATGCAGAAACCGCGAGCTGCCACCACACAACGCCTTCGGGATGCCGCCGCGGCCAGTGCGTTCCGCCGGGCGCAGCGGGGCGATGGCCCCCCTAGGACGGCTTGCGCCGCGTAGCGGCCGCTCTTGGCACCATATCAAGCTCTCCCATAGAGTGACGGAGAAGTTTCGTGACCAGAACGGTATTAAGGGACTCTGGCGTGGCTCTGCAGGAAAACTCGTGCTTGCCATGCAGACGGCCTTAGGTTCAGTTTAACCAAAGATTTTAATATTTTTTATTTGCATCTTTCTCAATTTTTCAGTCTTGCACTGTGCAAATATTTTTATCACAAATAAGATTTTTTGCACACAATCAAGAATGTCAACACCGACACCAAATTGCCGCAAAATGAGCTCCAACTCTTTGCAGCATGCTGGTCTTCTCAGGCAAACACCTTTTCTTCATTTTTTTTCTTCACCTTGTTTGGGCTTCAATGTGGCATGCTACGTTTGCTTTCTACTGGCTGCTATCAATCTCCAGGCGCTAGATAGTGTAGGTGATATATTTTATATTTAGTATGTGCTGTTCTTATTACGTTGATAGTGTAGGAGAGCATGTTCAATGAGTAGCTAGTGCTAAGGAGTTTAGAAATGACGAGCTGTATTCAGTCAGTACAGAGCACCATGTCAAAGAAGTTGGTGGTCAACCTGGGGTGACCACAGTGCATGAAGGGTCTTAGCAGGCTGGCGACACATATGGGAGCGACAGATGCGGGCACGCCGACCACAGAAGCGAACGATGAACAATGGCACGCTAGCAGCTTGCACTGAGCGGCCGCTGACACATCGTTGAGCACCATCAGCAAGAAGATATCATCATCATCATCGTGGCTAAGGCTTGGATGAGTAAAGACTTGTTCTTTTGTGCCTCAGTATCGTCTCTAAGGCATTCCTGGCCAACCGCCGTCAGAACCTCACAATATATATAGTCGAAGTTCGAACTTTCCTGAATTGTACGATTTCTACTATCGACATTACATGTTGTCCAGATCACCTTTAGTCTGCCAACACGAACGAAGTGCTCATAGCGAGTGTACTCGTATTGCCATTATTATGTTGACAATAGTCAGTCATCATGCCATCGAAGTTGCCAATACCAAGAAATCTAAAACCGAAAAGCTGTACTCTACCTGTATACTTAGCATCAAGACACTGAAGTTGATGACCTGCGGTGACCAGCATGCATGAAGGCCCTTAGAAGGGTGATGGTATATTTTATATTGTTCTAACAGAGCTGTTTTGCAAGATATATATACAACCGTCCTCAAGAATGTGTGTGTGTGTGTATATATATATATATATATATAGCGATTTTTAGAGGAAGAAGGAAAAAGGCACTAATTTCTGCCTGCCTGTGGGTGACAGGCAAAGTGACACAAGAGTGAGATGAATGTGCGCTACACACAATCCCACTTTGCTCCTGCGGGGAAGGAGCACCACTTTGCGACTTTTCACCAAAAGTGACCTGTAGACCCTTCCTACAGGTCACTTCAGCTGACCACCTCATATCTTTTGAACTAAGATTGCCAATTTTTCGTTTCTTGTGAGAAAATAACTTTCTGCAAAAGTTGATTTTTTTTTTTCAATAAAACTGTTTCCCGCCAACAGCGGAGTTGCGTGCATCACAATGTTAACGCTGTAGCGTTTATAAGAGGCAGTTGGGCCAAACACAGCACTTCATAACAGGCTTCTTCACATCACAGTTGTCCATTCTCACACTTAGCAGCCAAGTACTCTGCCTTAATAACAAACTCACTGCCCAACACATTCCCGAGCTAAGTACTGAACGTAGTCACCAGCTAATTTTGCAGACAGGTGTGCTTAGGGTCATTTAAAGAGCACCTTTTTTACCACAGTGTATAGTGTAACTTACAGCCTTATCATCCTCTGTTGCCTTGGAAAGCTGCGGAATCGGCTTTCTTGGGATCACCAAAAAATGCACAGGGGCCTGGGGGTTGATATCGTGGAAAGCTACACACTGAAAAAAAAAAATCAATTTCAGGATAAATATCCTCATTTAAAGCGCGTTTACAGCGCACTACGGAAACGGGCAGTCGCTAGGCGCAGAAACACTTGCAGTTTAACAACAGCGAGAAAAGAAAACGAACAAAAGCATTCTTTTATTTAACGATGCAGTCAAGGCTGATACAGCATGCAAAAATCGCGAAAGTTGCAACAGTCACCAAATGGCCGGCGTGCATAAGAACCTAAGCCGGTATGCAAGAGAACGCAAGCAGGGTGTAGTTTCGGGGGGCGCAAAATTTACTCAATTTACCCGATGCCCATTCTAAACACCCAAATAACTTCGGAAAGGCCACCTGTGGATTTACAAGTTGTTTACTATTGACCTAGCGAACAAAATTAATGCGGCAAACCGATGTCCACATGCGAACATCTTGTGGCACGATAGCATTGCTATTATACGCCGCTAAAGGTCACGGCTACAATCTACGCGATCACACGATTACTGTGGTCATAAACTGCGACATGATACAAACAGTGAGCCAACCGATCTGATAGGTTGGCGTTAGGCTTAGGTAGCAAGACACCGGTCAAATGCTACACATACAAGGTGATTGCGTGGCCTACTGCCAAAAACAGGTTTGCAGCAGTGCATTTTTTACCAGTGACCCGCATATCGAACATTGTGAGCAACTACTTGTTGCTTGCAGGGCTCTCGTAGCGGGACCCCACTACAGAGACCTCCAAGGCCACATGTCAGAAGTTTGGACATCTACTTACCTTGTCATCTTCGTAAATAAACTGGGTAGGTATGTCACCTCTCACAATTTTACCAAAGATGGTGTCTTCTGTTTCACTTGCTAGCTGCGCTCTTTGAACTTCGCTAGCCATCTTATCTAACAGTAGGCACAAATACCGGCACGCGAAAGCACCTTCTCGAATAATCTTCGAAGGCGATGTGGGCGGGGTCAAGCGCCTGCCCACTACGAAGTGGATGGCGCTGTGAGCGCTTACGATGGCTTAATGACCAAAACTAGCAAAAACAAATGCTCGAATATTCGGCATTGCAGAGATCAATCTAAGAAAAGGGCAGGTGCCCCAGCACCGTGGTAATCAATTGATGCGAATCTTATACACATGTTCACAATGTGCAAGTTCAGAATAAATGCGAAGCATGCATGTTTGAGAAATGTGCCTATATTGAAATGCTTCGACGCTTACACAACACGGGCTCACCTTGATTTATTACATGGTCTAATGATGATATCGAAGCTGAAAGCACCCGCAGCGCTCAGTTTCAATATCCCCATTAAAATCAGACAATTAATATCTCAAAATACGTGCAGGTTTTGCTGTTTCTCAAAATGAAGTATAGGAAATAGCAGTGGCTTACAGCTTTCCCTGATGTCAATAAGAAGTTAACAAGCTTCTGTTCATTAATGAACTCAATTACATTAATGTAACTTTTGCTGTGGCGAAGCATACTTGCCCCGAGGTAGAGTGGATGGGCAAAGACGACGAGAGCCTGTATTTGTATTGTTAAAGAAATTGTATTGTCAAGAGAAAGAAAACGCCCTGCATGTGCAGCATGTGATGTACAGTGTCAATTTTTATTAAAATAAGGGCTAGTAGATTATGCATATGCAGAACAGCAGTTGAAAACTAACTGCATGAGCTTTATTATAAAATACCCATAGTATCAAGACATCTTTTCAAAAGCTTGCTGGCCTAAAACAATGGCACTTGAGATGTTCGAAGCACAACTGGCTTAAGCACTTCAGGCATGACACCATTCATCCAACAAATGCCAGACTTGTATGCAAGAGAGCATATCCAAATATTTTGGCTTTTCCAGTTGTAAAATGTAAGCAACAATTTTTGAACTCTATCTATAAAACATATACATGCTTGATTGATTGCTGCCAACTGCACCAAATATGTTTAAAAGGGGGAATTTGAAATATTAAAGTTACAAGAATGTGCAATACTTCACGAGGCACTATGATTTATTTAACAGATATGTTATATACCTTTAATAAGGACTATATCCATAACAATGGCATCTTCGGCTGTGGAAAAAAAGACACGTTACATGCAAGTACCATGATGTAAAATGAAGCCATGAATTTCAAAACGGCAAATAATTGTCCGTAAGTTTATGAAAAGGACCACATCAAATATACAGAAAAAGTAAAATGCACATCAAAAAATTTAACTGCTGTGTGAAAGTGCCTGAGCTAACTATGTGACCACACAATGACTACATCTCATGTGAAGACCCTCCACAATTGTATAAGGCACCAATACATGAGTTTGTCACTCTGACATCTAAGGTATGATGATGTGAGCATTCTTATTTGCAGTTGATTCAACACGAAACACAGTTCCTTTGCTATGAACGTGCACTAATACATGACATGGAACCTTATTTTTGAGTTCCTTCAGCCATCAAAAAATGTCCTCCGATGATGAACAACGAAGAAATAATAAAAGAAATAGAGATCGTGTTTTTAGAAAAATACGTTCTCAAGTCCTTTTCATCAAGCTTGTCAAATGTTGGCTTGAATCCCAACAAAACGAAACACAACAGTAATAAAAAAAACTCATAAATGTAGCACAAGTGCTACAGTGACATCTGGTGCCAGCTCCAAATGACACTTAAATGTCAAGTAGGATAAAAAAGGTTTATGCATAGTCCCTGCAACATATCCCATTCTATGGGAGTACCTGCAGCCACAGCCACTAAGCTCAGAGTCCTCATAAGTACAAAAAGTATGCAGGCAAAGGAATGATTAGTTTCTGGCTGAGCGGCATTGAAAACATAATGCCCGAGTAACTCCCCCACAGGAGCAAACAATAGCGAGCAGCTTGCGCCCTGAAACCACGTCTACTTTGATTTGTCCTTCAACACGAGCAGCTGGATGACGACTTGATATCCTCGTGAGTGGATGAAAGCCGGTCTATCCGGAGTGTTTTTGACAGTGTGAAGGTGTCCAATGACCCGTAAAGCGAAGGATCGGTGACTATACTGTTAGCATCTACGTGGTTTTCCCTACTTGCTGAAGCCTTCTCTTCCGACTCAATGATCCGAAGTGCCAGGAGCCGGAACATTTCGTCGATGCCTGCAATGTAGAAACAACTGAAAATCTGTGACACATCGAAGTACTGGCTTTGTGCTTGACTCAGTGTACCAACAAAATACAAACACATCTATCTGCATCTAAACACGGGCAAATAATCATGTAATTTTAAGGAAACGTTACTGAATATATGCTACTTGTAACAATGCCCAAGTTCGTAAGAGCCCTTCAACACTTTTTCAAGTAGCCATGGAATGGATTCATTAAAGGAGATTATTGTCTCAAGAATTCACCGCCGCAAAAAACTTTTAGAATCTGTCTGGTACGAGCTGAGATAGAAAGGTTTATCACACACTGCGATTGCATTCTCTCTATTCTCGTCTCAACGAAATTTCTGGAAGCTAAGCAGGGAGACATGGCATGGGGAAATAAAATATGTCACGCCTGTTTTGTGACCTTCAGCACTTTTTCTCTCTTTATCTTGCTTTGAATATGTAGTTCTTCAGTGCAATCGCGTGTGCACTTGTGGAAAAGCCGTGGCCTCGTGCGGAGGCTTCAGTAACAGCCAAGCGCGCCATGCTCGAGTCAGCCAATGGCTGATGCAATGGCTGTGACGGGAGATTTCTGAGCTTGTAGCGTCATTTGTGAGATAAGATAGCAATCTTCAGCTGACTTCCAAAAGTTTATTGTGAATTCCAGGCTGTGTGCTGTGCTACAATATTTGGATCAAGTGTTCGGGAGCCTCGACTACCGTTCGGCAGCATTTTCTGACCACGCTAAAAAAGTGTTGTAGGGCCCCTTTATGAGTGTGCACCATAGGTCTTTAAATGCTCTTTACAGGTCTTTAAGTGCAGATATTTTGAAAAAAAAAAAGACCTTTCCTTATTTTGGGAAGGTGGAAGTAAGACAAAATGTGGAGAGACCATGCTACAGCGAGGTGAGCTGTCCTTCTCACCAAGGGAGGTTTACTTCAACGCTCTTGTCCACTGTACCTAAGTGCCATTATCTCCCTGTATTGTCCCACGCTTAAGCAGAGGAGATATACGATGTTTTTGTCACGAGCTCCATGTCGTTCTATTGCAAATGTGTGATTGATTGATTGATTGATATGTGGGGTTTAACGTCCCAAAACCACTATATGATTATGAGAGACGCCGTAGTGGAGGACTCCGGAAATTTAGACCACCTGGGGTTCTTTAACGTGCACCCAAATCTGAGCACACGGGCCTACAACATTTCCGCCTCCATCGGAAATGCAGCGCCGCAGCCGGGATTGTGTGTGGTTTTAGCCTTCTGCAGATTTTCATTGCACAGAAATGTCACTGCCCAACGTCGCTCAACGCCAGAAATACATACTGAGCTGGCATGATCAAGGGTGGTCTAGCCGGCCTAGGATTTGGAGTGATTCCTGGAGCAGAAGAAAAGATGTTCCGGAGCAGGGTTGCAAACCGTAGGGTAATTACCATACTTGTATAGTATATTCGGAACTTTACAGACAGCGTAGGGCAGTAGAGTGGTAATGCGTTTTTTTTATCAGGCAGAGGGTAATTTGTGCTTTTATTTGCCACCGGTCAGTGAAAGATGTGGGTGGTCAACATGACATCCCTAAGAAATGTCCTAAACACATTCCTAAACACATTAAAAACGAAATCTTTCCTTGAATAAAGCTGGAACTGTCTCAATTCGCATGTCAGCAGCATAAGGCAGACATGAAATAATACGAGAATATTTGGAGGTCTGGGTGAACAATGCAATCAATGAAAACAATAAAGAAGGTAGTTTTCGCCTTCGCATGATCTTAGGTAAGTGCGCAAGGGACAATGTGTCTTTTTTTAATGACAGTGGATGGTTGTATGAAAAAGCATCGCCTTTATGACGGGGCAGTAAACTAAGCTTTATCAAACTCAATATTTTATTATTACCACTATTACTATTATCACATTACAGCAAAATCTTACGTCATGTATTCACGTTCACAAGATCCATCCTTTTCCTATGTTCCCCGCACATGTGCATTTTTCCTCTGCACAGAATCTTGCCTTAAAACTATGTGTATAAAGGCAAGCCGATCTCGCTTTAAGCGGCAAAGCATATCCTTCTGCATTATTGTGAAGTGTACTGTTGCTTACTTTGTCTTTACTGTTTTGGTGGTTACCCGGAGCCAACTTTCTTTCTATGGCTGCTATCCAATAGATGTTTTCCACCTCTCTTAAGTTTTGCTTATTTATTTATTTACCCTATTTTATTATTTAAGACATACTGCAAGCCCATTGAAGGGCCCAAGCAGGAGGGGCATCACGAGAAAACAAAATTTAGGCACAATACACATGATACACTGATTAAAATAGTTTGAACAAATACAGGAATGCATCAAAGTTACAAAAGTCCGCAATACACGTGGTACACTGTTGGAAATATATTGTACACATACACAAGAGTACATCGAAGTAGCAAAACAAAGCAATCAGAATTCCGAATGTTCAAAGGAGTGAATATTGGTCACAGCCGATTCAGTTAGTTTATTCCAATCTGTAATAGTACGCGGAAAAAAGGAAAACTTAAAAATATTAGTTCGAGCGCTGTACGGAGTCAGAGATTCGAGGTGTCTATGCCGTGTTTGTCGGGAAGTGAGTGGCTGAAAGAATTCCTCGGGTTTAAGTGAAAGTTTGTTATTTTTAAGCAAGAATAGAAATTTTAACCTTTGAATTTGACGGCGTGATTGAAGTGTTGGAATGCCATGCTCTTCCATTAATCTTGTCGGCGAGTCACTGGGACGATAGCTTGAAAAAATGAATCGAACGGATTTACGCTGTATCATTTCAAGAGCATTAATATTACTTTTTGTGTGAGGATCCCAGACAGTACAGGAGTATTCCAGTCGCGGTCTAATTATGGATGTATAGGCGAGTAGCTTAACATTTGTTGGGGCCTTTCTAAGCTTGTCTAAGGAAGCAAAGTTTTCGGAATGAAGCTGCACATGTGTTTGTTACGTGTTTGTTCCAGCTCAAGGTATTTGTTATAGTGACGCCAAGATATTTATATTCTGATACTTGTTCTAACGGTTGTGACGGAAGATTGTAAGGGAAGGACAGCTTATTCTTTTTGTTAGTTATGTTCATAAAAACGGATTTTTTGGCATTGAGCTTCATTCCCCATTTTTCGCACCACGCCTGAACATAATTAAGCTTTGTGTTTAGCATTTGTTGGTCTTCAGGGCATGTTATTTTGTTGTATAGAATACAGTCATCGGCAAATAATTTAATTTTCACGGGATCACTAATAAGGGATACAAGATCGTTAATATAAATTAGAAATAATAATGGGCCTAATACGCTGCCTTGTGGAACACCCGAAATACAGGAAGCCGAGTAGAGGAATGATCATCGATGCAAACATATTGGAAGCGGTTCAACAAGTAGGAAGAGATCCAATTGGTTACAAAAGCTGGAAGACCTATCACTTTTAACTTGTGCATTAAATGAACATCGGAAACTAAATCAAAGGCTTTTTGGAAGTCTAGAAAAATGACATCAACTTGACCAGTTTTATCAAGAACGCTAGCAAAGTGATGAACAATAGAAGTGAGTTGCGTGACCGTGGAAAATCCTTTTCTGAAGCCGTGTTGACAGTGAGATAATAAGTTGTTTCTGTTTAAAAAATTTATAATGTAGTCGGCTATAATGTGTTCTAGAAGTTTACAACAAGAAGAAGTCAGAGAGATTGGACGGTAATTAGTAAACAGCGTCTCGTCGCCTTCTTTAAATACTAAACTATGCGGGCTAATTTCCAATCCTCAGGTACAACACCAGACAAAAGAGATGCTCGAAAAATGATTACTAAAAATTGGGATATGATTTCAGCATAGCGGCGCAAAAAAATATTCGGAATGCCATCAGGACCAGTTGACGCTTTCGTTTTGAGGTTCAACAACATGGAAAATACGCCAGGCTGTGAGACAATATCAGCTTCGCTTGCGGAAGATAATACGGAGCAAGGCATTGCATCATCAGATTTAAGAAAAATGCTATGAAAATACTTATTGAAGTTTTCAGCAATGCTATGCTTATCAGTGATGGCGATACCCTCATGTAGCATTGGTTGAATTGTTTTTTTCTTTTTGCGCAGGAAAGTTCAAAATTTATGCGGAGCGGAGCGAATAAAGTCTGGCAGGGTCTGTTCAAAATAACGTCGCGTTGCGCACTACCACAGCCCTGTCCTATGTTACCACATCTCTTACACTGCCAACCGCACACTTGCTGATAAGTCTCCAAGTTCTTTTCCTCAACTGAGAGTCAATCCTCTTCCCTACCTGAATACTTTCTCTTCCTATTTTCTGTCTTTCAAGTTCCTTATTCTCTCTTAAAAACTTTTTCAAACCAAACGTCACTGCCACTACACATCTGCTTGTGGTACTGTCAAGCCTGTACCTTCTTATTGTTACACTGTGCTATATTTAAGTGCAGGGTAAAATGTAGGGTAGCCCTTTCAGTCACAAATTGTGATGCATTGTCCGGAGATACGTCAAACTCGCATGACATGACTCAGTGTTGCATTATCAGAAAAAGAAAATGATGGCATACTTTGTTTTAAGTGAGCTTCAGTAATAAAAGTTAATTAGTATGTAACTACATATTTAATTATTCTGCAATCAGTCAGTTTCTATACTTGCATAAGAAAATAGACTCTTAGGCCCGAAATGAATGCACAGATTTTTAGTTATTTGTTTCAAATGAAGAAAAAAAAAAGTTTTGATGTTGGTCCAGGAATGCGGCACGTCGAACAATCATCAAACATGGTAGTGTGTCCAGAAGGTGATCCTCTGCATTGATACGAGTTAAATGATCGGTAGTTGTAGGAATGTGTAGGAATGTGTGCACCAAGTTTCAGGTCTTTTGAGGAAACACGCGGTTTGTGACGAGCCATTGAAGCTGGTGTGTACAAGTATACACACCGTGACTGAAAGGAGTAGTAAAAAGATTGTGCGAGGGAAGGGAGTGTAATTTTGACTGTGGCGTAGAGCGTTTTCCAAAAATTGGTTGGTAACACTTGGTTGGTAACA